ATTGGGGTAAATTGTAGTCAATGTCATGAGACAACATGTGTGTGAACTGCTGTATGGAAAGTGAATTTGCTTTGGAAACTTTCACCTAAATCACAATTTAAAAAAAAAAAAAAAAAAAAACAACCATCCCAGGGAACGGATCCTCCTTCCTCAAATTTATCTTATGATTTACAATCTCTCTGTCTTGAAAGGGGCAAGTTTTATCTAAGTGATCTGCCCAATGTTACAGCTTGACCTACAACAGACTCATTCCTTTCTGAAGCCTTGTACAGTTATCTTGGTACCACATGCCACTATTCTTATAAGGGTTTTGGAAAAAGATAAGGATTGATAATTAAGTTCATTAGATTCAGGTTTCTCCATCTCAGAACTATTGATTGACACCTTGGGTCAAATAATTCTTTGCTGTGTAATTCTGTGCACTGTAAGATGTTCAGCAGCATCCCTGGAAATCTCTCCCCAGTTGTGACAACCAAAAATGTCTCAACACTGTCACATGTACCCTGGGGGGGGGGGGAACACCCCTGGTTTAGAGCCACTGCATCATACTCTTTTTTAAAAAGTTGCCACCGAGTAGACTCTGACTCATGACAACCCCACGTGTGTCAGAGAAGAACTATGCTTCACTGGGCTTTCAATGGCTCATTGTTCAGAAGTAGACTGCTAGGCCTTTTTTGTGAAGTAGCTCTGGATGGACTTGAACTCCCAACCTTTCAGTTTGTAGCCTAGCACATTAACCATTTGCACCACCCAGGGACTCCACGTTGTAATATACAACAAACATTTGGGTACCATCACCTAAGAAGAAACCCTTAGATTTAAAGGGAAGACTAAGCAAAGGGAATTTCTCTTCAAATATTTGAAGGATTTCCACAGAGAAGAAAGAACAGATTTGAGACACTAGAAAGCAGAATTACAACCAGTGTGTAGAGGCTGCATAATAATAAAAGCATCTAGCATGTATTCTTCCAGCCACTGTTCAGAGCACTTTCATATATTATTTTATTTAACTTTCACAATGACCCGATGAGGTAGGTGGTACTGGCCCTGTTTTACAGATAAAAAAACTGAGGCTCAAAAATGTTAAAGAATTTGACTAAGGGACAAGAATTAACAGCAAAAAGCAGAACCAGAACTGAAACACAGCTCTAACTCAGAGCCAACTCTTAAGCACCAAGCCACAATGACCACGACAAATTAAGAATTTTACCTCAGTATCATAAAGGAAATTAAGAATGTTTTGACTTAACTGTTTCACCAACAAATATTCTCACAGCCACATCTCAATCTTATCTGTCCCAACCTGAGATACATTCATAAAGCCTTGCTTCATAACTTCCGGGAAAGTCTCTGCTCTGAAGTCCACTGAGCCCCTTTACACCTGCCTAAGCTCTTCCTGGGAGCTCTGGTAGCATAGTGGCTAAGGCACTTGACTGCTAACCAGAAGGCTGGCAGTTCAAACCCACCAGCCACTCCTCGGAAGGAAGATGGGGCAATCTACTTCCATAGTGATACTGCCTTGGAAACCCAAGGAGGGGTCGCTATGAGTCGAGTCCAACTCAATGGCACACAACAAGAAGCTCTTCCTACTTGAACATTACTCGAGTCACTCACTCAAGCTCTTCTAGGTGAGATGCAAATGCCTAGAGAGTGGGGCCAGGGACTCTGACACCCCCTCAAGGCCTTCTACATAACTGGGGTTCCATTAAGCTTTTTCTGAATAACTTCTCCTAAAGCAGAAGGCCTCCCAAGCCACTCATACCCTCCAAAGCCCACACCACGACAGATGTAAAGCTAGTAGGACCTTCGGGAGACGAGATTCTTGATTCTGAGCTAAAAACTATGAGATATGTTCTGAGTTCCTTCCAACTCTCAGAATCTGCATTCTGAAGAAGAGGAAGGGGATGGATGACTGGCAATATTGCTGGTTGCCTAAATCTTGAATCAAGCTACCAAGGACATGCTTGACTATGACAACCAATTGTGTGTCAGAGGTTACATGCATTTATGTGCATGTGCATGAAGACATCTATCTATGAAATGTATGTGCTGTCATTAGCTCCCATAGAGTTGGTCACCAACTCATGATGATCCCATGCACAACAGAACAAATCGCTGCCCATCCTGCACCTTCTTCATGACCGGCTGTGGATAGAACCATTGTCATCTATAGGTTTTTCAATGGCTGATTTTCAGAAGCAGATTGCTAGGCATTTTTTCCTTAGTCTATCTTGGTCCAGAAGCTGCAATCAAATCTGTTCAACTTCACAGCAATATATAAGGCCACACATGAGGTGCACTGGCCAGGGAATCAAACCTGGTTCTCTAGTGTGAGAAGCGAGGATTCTAACACTGAACTACTATGAATGCAAGTATATACATGTATCTCAGTTCCCTCTATAAGAAACTAAGCAGACAAACACAGATAAGTTTCTGAGGTGTGGAAGCCTGCATAAACTTGTTGCTGTGGAGTTGATTCTGACTCATGGCAATTCTATAGGACAGAGTAGAACTATCTCATAGGGTTTCCAAGGCTGTAATCCTCACAGAGGCAGACTGCCACATCTTTCTCCAACAGAGTGGTTGGTGGGTTCAAACTGCTGGTCTTTAGTTAGCACCCTAGTGCTTAACCACTGTGCCACCAGGGCTCCTTCCAGGAGCCAGCATGTTGTTGTTGTTATGTGCCTTCGAGTCGGACCCGACTCATAGTCGGGCCCTCCTTGGGTTGCTGAGGCAGTATCACTACGAAGTAGACTGCCCCATCTTCCTTCCGAGGAGTGGCTAGTGGGTCTGAACCGCCAGCCTTCTGGTTAGCAGTCAAGTGCCTTAGGCACTATGCTACCAGAGCTCCCAGCATAAGGAGGTCTAAATTAGGATCTCTTTCTTTTTTTTCTGATATTCTAATGAGGTCAGAGAAGCTCTGGTAGCATAATGCCTAAGGCACTTGACTGCTGACCACAAGGTTGGTGGTTCAAACCCACCAGCCACTCCTAGTAAGGAAGGTTGGGCAATCTACTTCTGTAGTGACACTGTCTTGGAAACCCAAGGAGGTGTCGCTATGAGTCGGGTCCAACTCAATGGCACATAACAACAAGGTCAGGCGAATAATGCCCTACACGTGTGTTCCCCATAAAAGACTAGCACATATGCCAACCAGTACTACCTCTCCCAGGTCCAAGACTCTGGAACCTTTCAGCAAAGTGCCAAGTGGCTAAACCATGTTCTTCAAAGAAATGGGAGCTCATGTATGTGATGGTGGGAGGTGTTCATTAACAGAGAAGGAGGGAAAGAGGAGCATCCTTTGGTAGAGTAAATATTAGTTTGAAGGCCACTGTGTTTATTAAGAGATAAACACAGCTTCTGTGCAGGTCCCTGGGTGGTGCAAATGATTTGTAAGGACTACTAACCAAAAGGTTAGTGATTTGAACCCACCCAGTGGTGCCATGGAAGAAAGGTCCAGCAATATGCTTCCATAAATTTAGATTACAGCCAAGAAAGCCCTATGGGACTCAGTTCTACTCTGTAAGACGGGGTTGTCTGGAGTCAGAATTGACGGCAACACGTAGCAACAGCAATATCTTCTGTACACTATTATCTGCTACTCATCCAACAACAAAAAAAGCTATTATGCCCAGGGTTCTCAGAAAGTAAAAGCCTGTCTTCTTAGAATATCTAGGTAGTGGCAAGTTCTCTGGGCTAATCTAGAGGTGAGAGAGAGAGCTGGTTAAGAATGCCAGAGTAGAGAGAGATCAAGCAATTGATCCCAAGAGCCAGACTCAAAACAGAGTAATGGATGCTGAGCAGGACAGCACCTGGCACAAACCATCCAGTCATGCTCTCCCTAACCTCTTCAGGTTTTCTGAGCTACAGAGAACAGAGAGGAGCCTTGTTGCAACACAAGCCTTTCCTACTGTCCCCAGGCTCCTCAGCACAGAATATGGGTCTTCTGGTTCCTTCCTTCCTAATCTTCTATCTCCATCAATGACATGGCATTATGTTCACCCAACCACCACTCAAGAGCAGCAGAAATAGAACTGTCCACAAAATGCAACCAAACCAATCATGAAATGGGCTGGCCACCTAACAGAAGACAGTGCAAAATTAAACTAATCAACACAACTCAGCAAGCAACCTACCAGAACCACCACAAACCCTTTCCTTCAACTTCCAAACAGGTTTTTTCTTTCTTTCTTTAACTGAGTCTCCCAATTTTGAATAATCATACAGTAACTTTTAAACGCATGTATCTTACAGTCGGGAAGCAGCTGAAAACCAGCATCACTGACCACCATGAGGTGTTCCATGGGGTCTATTTTAACCTATTTGCCTTCCTAAGATAAAAGTGGGCTTGGAGACCTGTAGTTTAGTACCTGTCACCAACCCTTCTCTAATGTCAAGGGAACTAGGCTAGGCCCAAGACTGCGAAAATCTCTCTCAAACTCCGGTCTTGGCGCATCAATCACAGTCACAGCTGAAAACAAACGCAGGATTTTAAGAAACTGTTGAATTCACACGCAAGGAGGGGTGTGGGGCAGAAATCGGGGCCACAGGGACAGGTAGTGTCCACGAGAGCAGCTGCTTCTGAGACACGTCTGGGTACAGGGCAGGGAATCAACCAGAAGGACTTTTCCCTCCAAGTCTTTCTCCATCTTTATATCGGCCCATTCACCACAGTTCAGGCCAAGAAACTGTTTTTCTCCTTTGAAAGGTTTACGGCGAGAGCAAAAGGGACTGGAAGGGAGCGAAGGGGCGATGCCAGGAGTGTTGCAATACAGAATGCTGGAAAACGTGTAGCTGTTTACTACCAGTGCCCGGAGGCGCGGCAGAGCGCTCCGCTCCGGGCCCAACCCGCCTCCCCTCCGCCGCGGGCGCCATCCCCCGCCCCCTGGCGGCACCCCGAAGGACCGTGAGGAACCCGGAGCCCCCAGGGCACACACCAGACCTCCTGGCCCCCAGGGCCCGTGCCCCGTTCGCTCCACCCCGCGCCCGCCCTGCGTTACCTCGGAGGCCCGGGTTGTCGTCTCTGGGCCGAATCTTGCGGATCTTGACCGGGCGCCCGCTCAGCGTGGCCAGGATCAACCGCTGGCGCAAGAAGTTACAGCCAACATAGCTCAGGGAGTGCGCAGAGGTGGCCATGTGCGCGCCCTCGGCTCGCGCGGGCCGGGCGCGCAGATCCGACAGCGCGAGTGCGCGGGGCGGCGACGACGGCAGCAGCGGCGGCCAGGGTTCCCTCCCGCACCAGCGGCCCCCGGCGCGTCCACGTGGTTTGGAACAGGAAGATGGAACGACGAGACACAGGTCAGAGGGGAGCGGGGAGGGGCAACGGCCAACTCCCGCCTCCCCACCCGGCCGGGCCGCGCCACCATTGGCCTCTGAACGATCAGGGCGGGGCCTTCTCCACGCTGTTATTGGCCCGAGCCGGAGCTAGGCGTGGTCTATGCCGCGCCTCCATTGGTCCTCGCTGGAACTGGGCGGGGCCTGAGCCCCGGCAACAGAGCTCGGCGGGGAGCGTCGGAGGGCTGCCAGGAGTACAGGCGCTGCACCCTGGCTGACTCTGCAGTGTCTCCTGGGTCCAGAGGTGGGCGCATCCTGCGTGTGCTACTGAACTCGTTCTGCGGCAACCCCAGAGGTGAGGTTGATATCACCTCTCCGCCTTTTTCTTGAGGGCTGGCGCGCTAATTAACCCTGTTACAGACGCGGAGTTGAGCGCGCTGTAGGCGCGGTCCTCTATCTAGGTCCCTGCTCTGACCTGCGCAGCAATGTCAGCCCCCTCGTGCACTACAAGACAGGACACAAGAACCTTGCAGAGTTGGCAGTTGCAGCCTTTGCTGGCACTCGTGTGTTCGACACGAGGCCACTGCTTGTTTTTGTTATGAGACACCCAGGTTTGCCCCTGCACATGGTCCCTTCATCATTCACAGTGGGTACCTGCACCCGGCCCACTGAAGCTAGCGGCTTTTCTTCACTCAGACAGCTGCTGGCTGCTGAGGCTGACAAGCCCAAGGTTGACAAGTAAAAAGGCACAGTCCCGATGTTACCAAACCATATGGCAGGCCATTAATTCAAGTCCATTGAAAGTCCCAAGGTCGGCAGAGCATGGCAGGCTGCTGAACAATGCCACAGCTACATGCAGAGTTCAAGCATGCCTTAAGCTAGACACCATTACCCAAGGCTTCTTATGTATAGGAAGCAGACCACATCCCTAAAACAGCAACTCAGCTGCTCACAGTTGATTCCACCATGGAGTTGATTACCAGTCTCATCATGGGGAATACTACATTCAGCTGTCCAGCCATTCAACCAGGCCCAGCCAAGTTGACACACAAACTTAACTACAACAAACACTAATAACTGAAGACCAGACAAGATGTTGGATGACATCAAGGACACGATACATGAAGAAAGCAAAGCGTCAATAAAATAGAAAAAAAAAAAAAGGGATGTCAAAAGTGACTCTGAAACTTGTTCTTGAATGTAGAGTAGCTAAAACAAAAGGAAGAAATGATGAAAAGAGCTGAACGAAAGGTTTCAAAGGAGGAGTTGAGAAGACAAAGTAAGTTATTATAATGGAATGTGCAAAGACTTGGAGTTAGAAAACCAAAAAGAAAGAGCACACTCAGCATTTCTCAAGCTGAAAGAACCAAAAAAAAGAGTAAGGCTTGATTTGCAATAGTGAAGGATTCTGTGGGCAAAGTATTGAATGATGCAAGAAGAATCAAAAGAGGATAGAAGGAATGCACAGTCTATACCAAAAAGAGGGAGCTCTGGTGGTGTACTGCCTAAGGCATTTGACTGCTAACCAGAAGGCTGCCAGTTCAAACCCACCAACCACTCCTCAGAAGGAAGCCTGGGCAATCTATTTCTGTAGAGATACTGCCTCAGAAACCCAAGGAGGGGTTACTATGAGTTGGGATCGACTTACAGCAGTGAGTTTGGTTTGGTTTGGTACCAAAAAGTATTGGTCAATGTTCAACCATTTCAGGAGGTAGTATATGATCAAGAAGTGATGGTATTGAAGGAAGAAGTACTAGCTGCACTGAAGGCATTGGAGAAAAACAAGCCTCCAGGAACTGATGGAATATAATTGAAATGTTTCAACAAACAAATGCAACACTGGAAGTACTGATACATCTATGTTAAGAAATTTGGAAGACAGCTACCTGGTCAACCGACTGGTAGAGATCTGTATTTGTGACTACTCTAAAGAAAGATGATCTGAAAGAATGTGGAAATTATCAAACATTCATTAATACCACATGCAAATAAAATTTTGCAGAAGAACATTAAAAAATAGCTGAATATTCTTGGCTGAAAGCAGAGAATACCAGAAAGATGTTTATCTGTGTTTTATTGACTATGCAAAGGTATTCGAGTGTGTGGATCATAACAAATTATGGATAGCATTGTGAAGATTGAAAATTCCAGAACACTTAATTATGCTCATGAGAAAACTGTACATAGACCAGAGGCTGTCATTCAAACAAAACAAGGGCATACTGCATTGTTTAAAATCAGGAAAGATGTGCCTCAGGGTTGTATCCTTTTACCATACTTATTTAATCTATATGCTGAGTAAATAATCCCTGAAGCTAGATATATGATGAAAAATGTGGTATCAGGATTGGAGGAAGACTCATGAACAACCTGCAATATGCTGAAAGTGAAGAGAACTTGCATTTATTTATTAATGAAAGTCACAAAGACTACAGCCTTCAGTATAGATTATACCTCAACATAAAAAAAATCCTCACAACTGTACCAAAAAGCAACATCATGATAAATGGAGTAAAGATTGAAGTTGTCAAGGTATCCTTTTACTTGGACCCATAATCAATGCCTGTGAAAGCAGCAGCCAAGAGATCAAATGACTTACTGCTTTGGACAAATCTGCTGCAAGACAACTCTTTAAAGTGTTAAAAAGCAAAGATGTCACTTGGAAGATTAAGGTGCACCTGCCCTAAACCATAGTATTTTCAATTGCCTCATATGCATGGGAAAGCTGGACAATGAATAAGGAAGACCAAAGAAGAATTGATTCCTTTGAATTATGATTTTGGCAAAGAATACTGACTATACCACCGACTTCTAGAAGAATGAACAAATCTGTCTTGGGAGAAGTACAGCCAGAATGAGCCTTAGAAGTGAGGATGGCAAGACTTCGTCTCATGTACTTTGGACATGTCATCATGAGGGACCAGTCCCTGAAGAAGGACATCATACTTAGTAAAGTAGAGGGTCAGCGATAAAGAGGAAGATCTTGAATGAGGTGGATTGACACGGGCTGCAACAGTGGGTTCAAACATAGCAACGATTTTGAGGATGATGCAGAACCGAGCACTGTTTCATTCTGTTGCACACAGGGTCACTATGAATTGGAACCCACTCTCCGGCACCTAACAACAACAGATCAGCACTTCTGCAGAGAGCCTGGTGGGTTCAACCTAACCATGGGCTGTTTAGTTTACAGCTAAGCACTTAACCATTGAGCAACCAGTGCTCCAAATAAACTACTTACACTGTCCAAAGTACATCAGAGAAATTAAGGGACCTGCTTGAAGTGACACACCTAGTTAAAAACTCCATCTCTCTCTCTCTCTCCCTCTCTCTCCCTCTTTCCCTCTCTCCCTCTCTCTCCCTCACTCTCCCTTTCTCCCTTTCTCTCTCTCTCCATCCCCCTCCCTCCTTCTCTCTCTCTTTTCCCCCCTCCCCCTCTCCCTTCCCCTCCATATTCTCTTTGGAACCTTGAACCTCCAGTAGGAAGTCTGCCTACCATGAAGCTAAGTGGGAGAAGCCAGACACAAAAGGTCAATATTGATGATGACAATACCTAATTTATTGGTACTGTCCAGAGTAGGCAATTCCACACAGACAGGAAGTAGAATAGTGGTTGTCAGGAGATTGGGGTTGGAGGGATTGGTAGGTTCAGAGCTTCTTTGTGGGGTGATGAAACTGCTCTGGAATTAAAGTGATGATAGTTGGATGACACTGTGAATATACTAAAAACCACTGGAGGATGCACTTAAAAATATTTAAAATGGTGGGTTTTCTGTCATGTGAATTTTATCTCAATAAAAACAAAAAAACTTGAGGGTTCAGAAAAAAAAGAGAGAGAAAGTAATACAATATTTAGCCTAATTTTCAAAACAATAAATGCTAGCTAACTATTTGTTTACTAAGGAAATGGAATCCTGAAGGAGTAAGTCAGGGGGAAGCTTCTATATTTAAAAGTTGCTACTTTGGACACTGCTGTGGGAATCCTGGATTAGGTTTGTATTTATGTGGTATTCAGTAACATTAAAAAAAAAAATTGGGGTGATTAAAAAAAAAGAAAGAAAAAGAACTGCCAGATATGCTTTAGATAAAGAGGTGCAAGGGCATTACCAAGAAGGAGAAGGGACTGGTTGTCAGAATTGTCTGCAGTAATGCCTCCATACAGCTGGCAACATTAAAAATAGATTTTTCCCCTGTCATTGTAATATATGTTCATGGTGATTTGGAAGATATATTTTTTCTTCTTTTCTCGTTTCAGATTTCAAGATCCTTTTGAGTACATTCCAGTGCTGAAGTATGTTACCCTATTTAAAGAAAGCCATATGGACAAAGTCAGGGTGTCTAATATAAATAACAGAGAGGAATGACGTTCTTCATTGTACTGATCATACAGTTAATAATTTTAAATATGTCGCTATTGTTGTTGTGTGCTGTTGAGTTGAATCTGACTCATAACAACTCTATGGGACAGAATAGAACTATCCCATAGGGTTTCCAAGGTAGCATAGTGCCTAAGGCACTTGACTGCTCACCAGAAGGCTGGCGGTTCAAACCCACAAGCCACTCCTCGGAAGGAAGGTTGGGCAATCC